AAAACAGTTTTATATCCCACCTCTCTTCCTCTTTTTATGTTTACCTTAATTTGTTTCCTAATAATGTCCAAGATTATTTATTATTTCATTAGCCTATCACAGTAGCCCACCATGCTTAGGATATGAATAGATCATATTACTAGCGAACAATAGACTGGTGTTTACAAGTTCATCACAGAGAGAATAGTTGAATGTGAAAGTGAAAGATAATCTCCTACTAAGAGCAACTGTAGACGGACAGAGCGATCGCTGGGTCTGCCAACAGCAGGGTCAATAATCTTTCAGATAAATTAATCATCAACATACTCTTTAATACTCCTTCAATTATTAATAAAATTACACTTTAAAACACCTAGGAAATAATACATATTCAATAAATGACACAGCACTGTACAACCAGTTTCCAGTTACAGATTCAAACTTACATTGAGTGCAATACGAATGATGTCACTGTGTGTTACTTTCTCTGCAGGTCCTTTCAGTTCTGCTATGCCTTCATCAGTGAGGTACCTGAGGAATGACAAGACAACATGGAGAGGTTTCAAGAGGGAAGCACAAACTACATTAATGTGAAGGCAGCTACAACTTCAGCAGACAATCAGTAGCCTATTAAAACGGAATAGTGTTATTGGTGATTTGTTTTCAGGGAGGATGCAGCATCGTGGTGCTAAATAAATGTGTAAGCATCTTGAGCCAAAAACAAGTAAACCTCAGAAACACAGTTTACTTGGTCAGAAGCCCAATTACTCTCAGTGTAATCCTCCGCTATTACTGACTAAGTAGAGTTATTAGCCTCGGAGAAATAATGTAACACTGCAATGAGGAAATCTAAATTTACAAAAGAGCAAATCAGGACAGCAATATGTGTTGATTAGCTGACGTTTTAGCACTATCATCTATACTGTATGGCAACATTAATGCATGATGTTGGGTTGATCTTCTCCTCAAAGCGTAGCGTCAACATTAACTCAGCGTAACCAACGCGTAATGTTAATACAATGCTAAGTGAAACAGCTAGCTAACCTTTTTTTTTTTTTACTCTCACTGCTACCTCTGAGTTCAGTTAGCGTTAATTTAACTTCACCCAAACGAATATTGTTGCCATAATTTACATAATTTTATAACAACGTGTGCCAGGACAAACTTTATCCTCTCACACAACTTTAATTAGGAGATATTGCTAATGTGGCTAGTTGTGTGAGCTAACCCCTATCTGTCACCTCAGTGTGTTAGCTGCTACCGTGCTACCTACCAGCCCTCTTTGGTCAGGGACTCTGCCAAATCGGTCATCTTCGTCCAAAAAAAAGGGAGCTGTGTAAGTAGCGATACCAGTTGGTTTTAACGTGAGCACATATAAATAACGACTATCTTATTAGGCAAAGCATTATTCTTCTCCTAACGATGATCAAGCTTCGCTAACGTAAGTATTGAACGACTCTGCGTCACTACGTCACCGAGCGTGACGCGTTCTACAAGTATGGAGAACTGTGAGGGCACAAAATAGCCTTTAAAAAAAAAAATGTATTTCGCACATGCTCCCTCTTTGAAAATCGTAGCTAACCGGTAGATGGATATTGCACGGGAATGGTTGTCGGAGATAATGTACTACTTCTTCTTAATTGGATGAGTGTATGAATTCATAGAACATAAAATATAGCACACTATTTTAATACCCTATTATTTTAGGTAAAACACCTAAAATGGTAGGCTAATTGTCTAAACATGGTCACAATTCACCCGATATGGGGTTATGGCAGGGGTGGGCAACTGGCGGCCCCCATCAACCCTCATTGTGGCCCTCAGGTCAATTTTTACATATCAATTAATTGGAAACATGAAGAAAAACATGACAAAATCTGCCATGAAATCATGAAAAACCAGAAATATGTCCATAATAATATTTGTTCACTGGTATATGTTGAGTTAAATTTGAGACATAATTGACTGTAATCGTTTTTTTTTGTATGCTACAATTTGGCCCTCTGGCAGTGAGAATTAAATGAATGTGGCCCTTGCTGTGAACGAAGTTGCCCATCCCTGTGTTATGGCAATTAGCCTAAAACATAAACGTTTAATGTTTTATCAATGCACATTGCACAAAAATCAAATCACATGGTCAGATCCTCTTCTATGTCTGAATGGAGTTTAAACCGTGCGTAAATATCTACAGTCTATGGTAAATATGCATGTGATTTGAGTTACTAATCTGATTTACAAGATATTATCATTTTCTCTCCTTGCTATGCAATGATAGGCTACTAAGATGCTGTGGAAGTTGCTGTTTTTTTTTCTGCTAACAACATCTGCCTGCTGTTATCAGTTTGATGAGTTCAAGACTAAATCATACAGTTAATGTGTATAGCCATAAATAATGGGATGGGGTGTCGTGTCGTTGTAATGGCGGGTGTAGCGATGCAGAGTCAAGTTGGGCCATTTAACTTAAAACAGTGGTGGTCCTTGCCTCTATAGTTTGGGGTACTTGTGTTCTGGTTTTAAATCTAGATCTGTCTCTTCACTGAGTTGTTCAGAGTGGCTTTTTGTTCTGAATGCTATTAATGGACCTCAATACTATACTGTAACTTTATATGATTCGTGATGGATATAATTTCTGAGAACATTGTAAGATTTTTTAAAGAAAATACCTGGCTACCTACCTTGACTTATAATGCAACTAAACAAAAATTAGGATACAGTTATACCATTTCAGCTAGGGCCACAAGATGGCAGTATATGTACACTGAAACATTACAGAAGTTCCTCTTGTCTACTGTATTTCACACGTTTTAAAGCATTGTTTACTCAGAAACATTAGCAATAGAAATTGACCCTTAAAGAATGTAAGCTTCATTGTGAGCCTATAAGTTTTATAACTAACCCTTTGTCACATCTCCTATCTGAAGATACTTTTTAAAGAGATTTTTTAATCCTTATTTGTGCATGCTAAGTCAGTCCTGTCTCAAAATATTCATCTGAATTCAAGGTGAAAATAGTAGGCCCTATTCAATTTAATTCTCTATATGTGGATTTCTTATTTAAATGTCATTAACATTGCAAGAAATCTGAAATTATTTTATGTGGATTTATTTGATTGTGTTTCCCTAATGTTATTATTTTACTGATTAATTTCAAAGGAAGATAATTAATTGCTTGAGAGGATTAGAATTGCACAAAGTTGTTATTTGGCTCAAGGATGAGATTTTAATATAAAGCTTGCCTGCCATGCAGAAGGCCTTCAAGGGACTGGAGAAGTAAAGGTTTTTTAAAGATAACAAGATTTCAAGAGGCTGAAGAATGAAACTTTAATTTGATTTCATGACTTAAGCTTGTACTTAATAGTGATATTATATTTATAGTTTTGCTTTGAAATACAACAAAAACGAATCTAAAACTTTGTGTTTATCAAGTACATGCCACATCTGTTTTATAACAAAACTCAATACATAGTTAGTCATCCTTGTACAAATCTTTATTTGTATGCTACAAGTGAAACATATTCTTAGTGCAATGCTATTTTTTTTGCATAGTTGCATCGTAACAATAGACACACAAATATAGAATCACAAATACTGCCACTCAAGATAAAACTGTCAAGCAAATTATTCCTGTTAAAGGTCAGTTGGAATTAGTGGCTCTGCATACCTGTTGCCTGTTACCAAGTATATACAATGGACCCAATTTTTGTTGGGAGAAAACACGTCTTTATTTAAAGTTGTAACTGTCAGTTAGCTACACATGTCTAATGACATGTGTGCCCTGGTTCAAGAAGGGATTGGCATGATCCCAACTTTCTAAAAGCACAAAGGCCACAGAAGGTTATAGTCCTACTTTTGGCTTTTTATCCTATCATAGGTTACGTAAACTTCATTGTCCTCAAGAGGAACAACAACATCAGCTCTGGATCAGGTAACAACACGCACCTGGAGAAATCACTTATATATAGTATCAACTCTACTCCATCACCAATGTATTCTCCTATAAATCTTTTTTAATACAGGTTTGGTTATATATTTAAGAACTCTTTTATTTATTCTAGGCCAATGTCTTTGGGGAGCAAATCAGGTTTTTAGTAGAGAGCACATCAGAAGGATCTCATTCAAGTTTCTTCTGGTTGCATCACTCAGACAAGGTGTTTGGGATTTTATATTGCAGCTTTAGGCTACCTTTTCAATTGCCAAACAAAGCAAACCAATAGCTCATAGCACTTTCAGTACAAAAATCTGATCTATAAAGAAGGACGGCATCATCATCTTGCATTTTCTAAAGCTTCACATGACATCCTGCATGAAAAGCAAAGGGCTTGTTAGGTCATGTAGCAGGATAGGAACGGGACCAATCGTTTTTCCAATGTACACAGGTAATAATCTGCATATTAGACAAGTTATTAACAATATTTTGTTAAAATGACCTTTATTTAGTTCTGTAGGCTAATTGAAAACTATTTAAAAGATAAGTGCAGAGCTTATGCCTAATATGAGTCATGCAAACTGATTGAACCTTTAAAGGAAATGTGTGTTGGCGTCTGTTTCCCATATGTTTTGGAGTTTGTATTTGTTTTTAAAATTCAGCATGTTTTTTTTTTAAGGGCTTGTAACACTATTGGACTACTATACTTTGAAATAGCTAAATGATGTGTTTGTTTCTGCCAGTTTATCAGGTTAGTCCTTCATAGTCATTGGTGTTTCATACGGTCAATATTACAGCGTTAAAAAGTAACAAACAGTGGTACTTCATCCGACGTGACATGAATAATTTTTGCAACAGATGTTGCCGCCTCTTAATCCCAAAAACACATTGTTCCGACGGGAGATTCAGGCTTTATATAACGAACAACCCCAAGACGAAGTCGAACTGATTGACAGCTCATGGTGGCCAATCAAATACTTTTCAAACTGTAAACATAGGGAGCTGAACCAATCACGATTCAGTGTTGTGCCGCTCAGTGGCTGCTATTGGTTGGATTAAACACGCGGAACTGATATCATCATTGCGCGGGTCTGTCAAAAAGTATCTACCGTTTACATTTATCTTGCAAGAAGAGCTTCCACTCCTGCTAAAAAAATAATTGTATAGATTTGAAATTACGGCTGGGTAATATTCGTCCGTGAAGAAACCGTGAAGTAGTTTCGCCGTATTGCTTTTGTCAGCGGAAACTCAAGTGTTACGTGACAGTCCACAAATTGGATTAGCGCGAGGTAAAGCCAGCAGTGAGTGATAGTTTAGCAAACGTACTAGCTAGCAAAACGGTCTGTTGAAGACTGAAGCCTGCACAATTTTGGTTTTGACACCTCTGGTTTTAACGAACCCAGTGCCATTCACTTATATGCTTTAACCAGAATCGGCGGCTAATTTCAAACAAAAGTGGTAATGTAAATATTTAGTGTTAGACAATTCCGCTCGTGTCTTCATTGGGTGTGCCTACCTTTCATTCATTAGTAGGTTAACTCAGTTTAGGGTTTACAACATGGAGAGTTATAGTCAGCGATTTGAATCGACCACCGGACGAGACAGCAAACCTCAGAAGAAGAAAGGTTCAAGTACGTCAAGTTATGAAGAAGGAGACCGAAAGCCAAAGTTTGTAAGTATTATACGAGATGTACCAACGTTTTTCTCTATTATTTTAGCTGTATTGTAGAAACAACTTTTTGACAATAGTCTACAACTAGGCTACATTGGGTTTATTACATTCTTCCAAATTGTGTCCCCTTTTTAGGTCCTGTCAAAATTAGTAGGCCTACCATATAAATAGCTCTCTCTCTCTCTCTCTCTCTCTCCCCTCTCCCTCTCCCTCAATTCAATTCAATTTAATTTAATTAAAATCAGCTTTATTGGCATGACAGATCAACAATCTATGTTGCCAAAGCAGTACAGAAAACATTTTGAACAACCAGTGATTACAATACAATATATACAGTAAACAAATATAACAATTATGAATAAAAAACATTAACAATAAGATGAATTATTTTTACAGTGTATTTCTATGAAACATTAAGTGTATTTTGTCTCAGTTTGTGACAATCATTAACATAATTAGCAGCTCGTACTCTCTCTCTCTGTCTCTCTCTCTCACACACACACACACACACACACACACACAAACGGAACAAATATGTAAGTGGAAAAATAAGGAAACGTGTCAGTATAACTTTTTCCATGTGTTTTCTTGTTGAGTGCATATGCATACCTCTCCCTCTCTTGTGACATGTGTCAACGCCACATTGGTTGAATTAACTCTATACTTTCAGTAACTAAGACTGTTTATAAACTGGCTTTTCAGACTTATCACACCTTAAGAAATGGAGGTCTTACACAGCAGTAGGTGAACAGTGGTGGAGATGGCTTGTGTACTGACTCTACACATTTTCTGTTGTGTGTGCTGAAAAATAGTTTTTCACTATCTCCCTCAATGTTAAGAAAGCTCTTACACATTGCAGCCATGGGCATGTTAGACTTTTCTTTGTAAACAGTGACCTTGACAAGTTGTTTGTTTGCAGGAAGGAAATCAAAAGGTTAAAATTAGCACAGGGGTTTAGCCCTTGACCTAATCCAGGAGCTTTCTACGAAGCAACCAACATTGTGTCTGCCTTGAATTTGTCTGCTGTATTGTTCCTTAAAATAAAGGAATGTGGCGATCTTCAGTCAAAAAAGTAGCATTATAGTTTTTCTCAATCAGAGGTCTAATTGTCAAAACAGTCAGGTGTCTGTAAATACCAAACAGGCTCAGGCAGACACACACACAGACTCACACATCCTCCTTTCAGACAGAAGACGTATGTGACACAGATCTTCTTAAGGAATCCTCAACCTGCATTTAACCCCATTCTTATGGGAGTTCTAGTACCAGTTATTTCCTTGCTGGTGCCTTTCAAATGTACTAGTCTTCTATTGAGTACATTTCTGGGTAGAAATGATTAAGACTGCATCTTTTCCCCAATGAGCTAGAAATGTCTAACATTTAATAACCAAAACAGAAACACCTTTCACCTACTAAGATGGGTGTTAAGTACTTAGCTTCATCAACGCACAGTGTCATTCTGAAAGGGTGAAGACACACAATTGCAGATACAAAGTAAAAAATTTAATGATCTTTTGATCAGACAATTTAAGAGAATGTTAGAATTGATTTGGTATTTGGTGAATGTTTTTCATTATTTCTTCCTGATAACAAAGGTGTATTATTTTATGCTTTTGCTTGACACAAAACGTGTGAAACATCTGATCATTACTCTTCCCTTATCAAATTCAGAATTTATTTAAAATAACATTGTAATGTTAAAACACTAGTATTGTAATGTAAGGTCATAAAATACTTATAAGAGGTAAACCAGTTTAAAATTAAGATGACAAATAATGGAAGGGAAATAGTGACATGAGAGTACATGCAGTTTGTGAAGAATCTCATGCTAAAGAATAACTTGTGCAAAGGTCCATTTACTAGCAAATAATTCAACAAGCACTCACAGTTCTGATCAGTGGATAATCTGTGCTGCTGCCATGCTGATTGTTCAGTTGTCATCATGCTTCTGATAAGAGGATGTTAAATGTTGGGAATATCACCCCTCTCCTTTTATACGTATAGTCTATGGGTGCAGGCCATGCACATAGCTTGTCAAAAGCCCTCCTCGTTCATTTGTAAGAGCCCATATATAAGAAACAACTTAATAAGAGAGTGGTGCATGACAATTAAATGCATTTTACTTATTGTGATTCAGGGAGGCTTTTGCGATGGGTTTTATCACACATGGTCTTAATGTGATGACATTGAAAATACAATTTATTGTGCAGCCCTGGTTGAAAGTTCAGGACAATAAAAGTAGCCGATAGCCATAGATACTGAATAGGCTTATATTGGTCAATATTATCGTCCAGCCGATTAATCAGTCGGGCTCTAATAAATGTAATCACACATCCAAAAAATTTCCTATGTCATGTGGATCTAGCTCAGAGTATTTTCTCCAAAATCCAACCTTTTTATTACCTAGTTATCTAAACTGACATACTACTTTGAGTACCAGACACTCAAGACTTTTTTGTGCTGACCTTTCTTAGTGTTTTGAATCTTTACATTTTCACTTTCATCTCATTTTTCATTTTCAAAGGCGTTAGGTATTGTTCTGTTTTTTTTCTTCTTTAATACAATATCTTAAAAAGACAGCAAAGTACACTGAGGGCATCATGCCTCCAAGAGAACTGTGAATTAAAAAAAACAACTCTCCAAACAGTTTCCTAATGTTTAACTGCCAGAGACACAAAGGCAAAGAACATCTTGTTACTTATTCAAGCTGAGAGCTGCATACAGATGATGTTCCTGTGATAGTACAGCCTAGTCTTGACACCTTTAGTCCTACCCTTTCATCAGATGATATTTTTAACAACATTCATAACATGTAACTGAAAAGAATGCAGTAAACGACCCTGGTAAAATATGTTACATTAACTTTCAGCTCAATAGGTGGCACTGTAATACCACTATATAATTGTTAGAAATTATATTAAAGTCCCTTTTTATGTGTAAGGCTGTTTTTGGAGCTGCCTGTTAAACTCTAATGAAATAATGGAACAGAAGACATGTTAATGCACTGTTCTACCTTCTTATCAGAGTCCAAAAGATAGGTTGGGAATAAGATAAACTGGACTGTACTTTTTTAAGATCTGTCTTTAATACGTCTTATTAATGTAATGGATGTTTAATTTCTTATTTTGTACAGTGTCTTAGTGTTAATGGGCAGGGAAGCTGACCTTTGATGCCCAAATGAGGAACTGTGAATGACTTGAGGATAAATAAGCATTTCATTTATCTGCCCCCCCCCCCAAAGTTACTCTGCTTAATGGCTTTTCAGTCGTGGCCTATGATACTATCTGTGAGGTAGTGCTGAAATGGTAAGGAGATAATTTACGAGGGGATTTCTGCAGGACATGTTTATGTTGCTGTTAAAAGTCACAAAAGAAAATTTGACATAAAAACACATCCTTCATTTGTTAAGATGAGCCCTCTGTAATAGTTGATTTTCTTAGTGATAGGTCTTTATAGACTTTCTAGGCTTATTCAGTTGCTGTGTGTCCTAAAACAAAAATATTCAAACCAGTTAGAAGTTGTGTTCATGAATTACATTTCCTAATCTGATGTCTTTAGATGCTTTCTTGGTTTGGGTTGGGTCTTAAAGTATTTAATTGTTGCTGTTCCTCACCTCCATGAAGTACTTTCTTTCAGTGTTTACCTCACAAATTTCTGTTGTTGATTATGTGTGCAGTGTTTTACAAATCAGCGGTCTCTCTGAGTTGTGGGTTACTTGTCTCAGTTAATTGAAAAAGATGTTATCACAGTTTAATTAAATGAGCAGGGTGATAGCGGAAAGTAAAATGAATTCACCAACGTTGACAAATGACTGTTGTCAGGGCTTCTATTTTGTCCATTGAAATGAAAGATTTGCGTTAGTGAGATCCTGAAAAAACGTGGTAAACACAAGGCTTTACTGGTTGACATACCCTTGCTTTAGGGCAAACAATTCTGTTGTTGTCCAGTGTTTCCCCTAGGTTTACAGCGTTGGGTGGGGGGAGACACGCCGACACAAACACTTAGGGCCGCCCACCTAATATAATGGTATGGGAAACACTGTTGTCGGTTGTTTGGTTAGGCTATAGAAAAATCTATAGAGGCAACCAGCTATCCCAATACTCTTGAGTTGTGACTAAATACATTTGATTAGACACAACAACATCATTAAAAACTGAAAAAGGTACAGGTACAAGACTGTACATGTTTTGTTTTTGGAGTCAAGGAACTACCCGTCCCACATCCGAATGATATCGCTTCTTCTTAAATGTAACTTTTGTCATTGTTATAGAGTTGAGACTACAAGTGTTGTAATATATTGTACTTTGTGTTGTGTGAATATATAAATTACATTCACTGCGGCATAACAAGGGTATCAGTACATTTTGTCTTGGCTAACTCAGTCGGAAATTCCGATTTGCCGGTCTGATACGTCATCAGGAACGCCCCCTGAAGTTGGAATTCTGACTTGGAAACTCTGAGAATCTTCAGTAGCCCGAGTTCAGATCCGATATGGCTGCTACGTGCATCGACAGGGATGTTTAATCTGTAACGGTTGTGTTTATTAGCAGTTTAGTCGTCTTTTTGTGTAATTAAATCAATCACACCGATGGTATTGTGTAAGTTCTCTCTGTGGAGGTTTTGTCATGTTATCTTTGGTCAGAAACTATCATGTAGTGTGTTGTCATTGTCTGGTATTGGCTAACAAAACAAAGGTACTCCTAGAGGCGTCCATGTTGCTTTTCCGACTTGCAACTGGAACGCAGTTAACTCGGGTGTGACGTCATTCCCAGTTCTGAGTTCCGAGGTAAATGGAACGCAGCATAACTATCCATTCACATATGACGCTGTAAGGCAGGAAACATTGCCATGGTAACAGCAAACTCCACCAATCAGAGACGTTGCTGTGAAACTCCATGCTCAAGGGCAGTGTAGTTATTTTCTTATTCTTAAAACGAGGTTGATATCATACAAAGTTGTGTTTTCTATAGGAGCATATACCAGCGTTTCACATTCAGGTAGCTCGTGGTAAGTCTATCTTGGATAGTTATGACATAATGGCTTCTAATTAAATCTGCTACAGGGAAAATGAATGGGATTTTAACTTCCGGAACTACATTGTTGAGCCCTATGACGTTTCTTGTCTGAAGCACTTTGAGGGCCCTTTTGAAACTTTGTCCTGCGCAGTAAATAGCTCTGCTCGACTTCTTTTATTTGACCATCTTTGTCGCCTTGAAAATGTACTGAATTCTGGTGAGGCCTTGTCCTCGCCTGCAGTTCTAATTGTGAATATAGATGGCTAGTAAGAGACAGCCTTGAAAAGTAACTGCTTACTCCCTTTTCGCCCAAATCTCAATTTGTTAAGGTGTAGGACTTTAGATAATGCATTATTTATAATTGTGTGTAATTTGACAGTGATTTTCATGATTGATGTGTTAGATATTTGATCAAAAGATGTTCAAAGTGATACCATATCTTCCGATCAATTTTTCGTCCAACACGGTAGTGCATCTAAAGAATTTATAAAATAAAGGTGTAACTTAATAACTTGCATTTTAGAATTAAGGAAAAACTAATCTTTGGCCTGCAAAGGACAAATAAACTTATAAAAAATATTGACTAATACAATTTGTTTTCAGATTGTCTTATTGATTTAATATGTAACACTCCCCTTCTACTCCTGGTCGCCCTCATTTAATTGGTATTCGAACACTATAAGTAATTCTTATACAGCTGCTAGGCTTTTTTTATTTTGACATTAACACTTTTTTTATTCCAGCAAGCTGCTCACAGTATGAATCTCTTGGAAAACAGGATGTGTTCTCAGCATGCTTTTTTTTTTTTTTTTTGCCTCTAGCTGAGCACAATCTCCTCTGTAGACATGTCATGTGTACACTGTCCTGTTGTGGAGGTTCTATTGCCCTCCGACAGTGTAGCACTATTGACAATTACACTGCATGCGTCCTGTGAAAGCCACCTGTGGATTCTTTCTTGTTTGGATGCAGCAGTGAGACTTGGTGAATACAATCTGAACATCTTGATGTTTGCTTTAGCCTACATAATATGTCCTACATATATTAGGCCCACACTGGGAACAAGCTGCACAGACATACTTAATTGCAGAGACGTGTTATTGCTGTGCATTAGAGTGCAACAGCTGGGACAAAAAGCTGCTAAGGTCCTGCTGGATGGTATAAAACATGCAGTAAAATTTTAGAATGTCAGATTTGATAAATGATGAAAATGATGAAAAAGAACAGGAGGTGGCATAATGTCTATTCATTCATTTTACATTTGCCATTTTGATGTTCCATTCCATTAATTCTGCAGGGACAAAACAGGACGACTAGACTACTGTTGTATCTCTTATTATACTGTTCAGGGCTAATAGTGTGCAGGGGAAGAACTGTAAATCAGAGACCTAGATCCCAAGTAGGAATTATTTTCCCCATCTTTGAGTGGGATTTTGTTCTTTATAGTGATGACAATTTAGAAACGTGTTTGCATTTAAACCAATTTAAACATTTTAACACTGATGTGTATTCATTTATTTATCTGAGGATCTGTACGGTCTGAAGTTATCATTGAGGCGGACAAACCACTTTCAGTCCTGCTTTAACATAATCCGAACTTCAATTTGACCTTTTCATGTATTTACTTCTCCTTCCATATTTGGGTCACATTTCCCTCTTTTTCACCTGTTTGGAGTACACATGGCAACTTCCCAAGAAGTCTGCAGGAAGAAACAAAACAAAAGATTTGCGAGAACAGGAGACCGAACTTACACAGCAGACATTGACTGAGGTAGCTGTTACTCACAGATAAAAACAGGCAAACTGCCAGTGTCCTCTTTCACTGCACAAGTGGATCCTTTATAATTTGTAGACAGGGCTTGTTAGAGAAGTGTTCTTTAGGTACAAGTTTATTGCTTAAAGACTGTTGGCGATGTCAACTGAAACACCCCTTAGGTTTTTACTTTTAAACATGGGCTTAATAATCTGTTGAACTGCACCACTGGGTGCCCAAAAAGGATTTTGTTGTTGGAGAGAAAGTTCCTTGGCACCCAACTACTGTGCTTGGTAAAATTGTAAATGCTCCTGGGGAAAGTGCACACACTTGGTTTGTTTTTTACCTGAGGATTAAGTCCATGATAGCCACTGCATACCTCAACATAGGCTGCTCTAGGGCAAAATATAATAGACGTTTTTGCTTCATATTTCCTGATATATTTTCTTTGTTCCCCTCATGTAGCACTTACCCTTTAAAACCATCACAGATGATGTGGTAAGATTTTGCGACATTTGTGTTCTTTCTTTTCTCCTGGTTGTTAATCTCTGTATCATCTAATATCTCTATTCTAAAAGTTGTCCAGTATTCTTTTTTTGAGTGATATTGGTCATGATTTCATGCCATTGTGTTCATTCACATCATAGAGCATGACACCTCTCTTTCCTGACTAATGTCTTTGTTGAGTCTACATCATGTTTTCTACATACAGATATAATGTGTATGCACTTTGTTAACATAGTTTTCTCACAAATGGCAGCGCGTTTCTAACCTAACCCATTAACAGGCTAATTGTTTTGTCTTCTGTGTTTTGAGTACTAACTGTTCAGTGTTTCCCCTACCATTATATTAGGTGGGCGTCCTGCCCCCCCCAACTGCACCCCCCACCCCCTTGATGGTCAAGTTCATTTTATTTTCTATATAGCGCCAGATCACAACAGAAGTCATAAGGATACCTTTCCTATAGAACAGGTCTATACCTCCTCCTTTTATTAAACAAACTAAATAGCCTTATGTTATTTATCTTATTTACATGACGGCATGTCATTTCTGTCTCTACATGGTCGCACGTTTACAGTTCTCCTCTGCTCTCTGTGTCGTGCACGGCGGAGTTTCGCCCCTATGCACACACGTACACACATACACACAGACACATTCGCGCACACACTCTCACCAGCGGAGGTATGGGTGTGTGTGGTTGTGTCTGACGGACGCACACGCAATAATAAAAAGTCCGTAAGAAGCATCAGAAAATAAAGAAGTCGGCTTAGTTAATTTGCTGCTCAGACAATGAGAGATGCATTCAGGTGTGCTCAGAAACGGGAGTTGCAGGAACAACTCGCAGGACCCACCCCCCCGGCCCACCCACAGCTCTAAACCTAGGGGAAACACTGACTGTTTATATAGGCTCATAATCTAACTCATCACTTTTGTATCTCAACTTTTTCTGCTAAATATTCTTGAGACTGTTGATCTGTTTTTAAAAGTGTTTCTATCTCATTTTTTTGTGTGTGTACAGCTGGACAGATTTGCCAGCATTCGGATCCCGGGTAGTAAAAAGGAGCGACCACCCTTGTTGCAGTCTAAACACAACACTAATGATTGGACCATTTCATCATCATCCTCGTCACATCAGTTTGAAGAGGTTTCATCAAAGATCACCTCGGAAAAAGAGATCTTGGCTCTGTTTGAAAAGATGATGGTATGGTCATAAACATGGAAAGCTTTTCTTTGACAAAATGCTCAATAAATCTTTGAAATGATATCAGGATAACCCATTACACCATATTGTTTGGCTGCTTGATGTACGACTGTGTTAACTTGTATTCACTTGTCAGGAATTTGTCTTCCATGGAAGCAAAACACTTAACATGAGCTGGTTCATAACCACCCGACATTAAATTGTGTGAGTCTTTTGGGGTTGACTACCACCAGACATTCTTTATGAGGATGGGTAGACAGGCACTCGTATAACAGCTATCTCGCTTCAAAAAGCAATTTAAGCATCACTCTTAAAGCAACAGGCTTACTTTCTAACACGATAGATTTCTTTCTCAAAATGAAAAAGGCTAAAATTATGAATTCAGTGCTGTCTTATTCTTTTAAAGAATTGGGATCCCATTTTAGCCCAGTTTTTAGAATTAAATATTCTGATAAATATGGCAAATAAATAATTAAATCTAAGTTAAAGGTTAATGGGGAAACATAAATCTGGTGAAAAATTCAATTGTCTGTGCAAACAAGACTTATAACACCAAAGTATTGCAATTTTTAATACACTGGGAGAAAAAAAGCAAAGCCAGAGGTTGATACAAAGAAACAAGAATATTAAGGATTACATTTTGAAAAATATTTCTCCTCTTTTCTCTTTCTTTTGTTTTAACAGGAGGACATGAACCTGAGTGAAGAAAAAAAGACTCCTTTGAGAGAAAGGACCTCAGCACAAAGAGAGAAATGGTCATCCAGTATATTTTCACTGCCTCTAAAACTGTAAGTGTTTGAATGCAATTTTTTTTACATTACTTCTTATGTTTTGCTGTATGCTTATATACTTTAAGGTTTCAAATTGAATATATTTTAATGACATGTATGTTTAGGAGCTTGTAATTCTGCACACCCTGAGGTCACATTTTATAATATTCCATGCATTTGTCAATGAAAAATAATTTCTCACATGGGACCTGGCCTGAGAAAGCCTGGGGAGTGTTATTGGATTACAAGCCAGTGCAATCTCATTTGTTTAGACATCTCCCTATCTCTGGGCAATATTGTTACACTTGCACGTGGGGCACATTTGTAAAACTACTATTTGAGTATTGAAATATTTAACTGAGTTGGCAGTAAATTGCTCACCTAATGGCATGCTGGCTGCCAGGTTGTTCATATTGAGTGTGTCTCTTTCTACTATACGCTCATAATCTCTTTCTCTGGTTTGTTCCCACAAGGTGATCCAAACATATTTCTATGCTAATATTAATTTGAACAATTCTGAATCGATTCAAAATGTAAAAAGTAAGACTTAAGTCTTAAGTCAATTTTAACCCGCAACCAGTTTGAGGATGGCAAACCCTGCTGCTTGCATTTTGGGTAATGTATGGCTGTGCCCGACATGCTAATGTTATGCCTGGGCAAGGTATTCAGTCGGTCCAATTTTCCATTGATCATTGACTCCATTCATTAAAGCGCACTGTGGATTTTAAAATCTCCTAGGAAGCATATTGTACGTATTATCTGGCTTAAAGTCTGAAACTGATAGTCAAATGAATGCTTTACAATTTGCATACTGAGCAAAGGGAGATGTAGATGTTGCAACAGTTACATTTTTAAACATTTGCAAACAACGTCATCTTATGTGCCTTAACTCTTTGCTGATTTCTCATCTTCCTTTAACACTGTTCTTGAATTTGAATTTATTTATTTTAATAGGGACAATGCAATTTAACATAATTTCAATACAAAGCATGAAACTGATGTGCTGCATAAAGAGTACATAGCTATTGCTGATTTCCAACTCGTGTCCCCAGTTGGGCCTTTGTGTAAACAAACAGATTAAAATGTACAACATTTGGTTACATAAAACCTCATAACACTATATGAGGATACATGAAAATACATGTACAACAATACAAATGCTATAAGCCGGTTTAAAATAAAGTTTTAAGATACAAATCTATTGGCTGTGAGGCAGTATGGAAGTTAACCAGTTAACCTGTACATTATCTAAATCATGTTGCTATGTAAGGGCTCCTAATCAAACGAGTTACAGAACTGAGATTTATCACTTTTATATCTGGTGTACGGACAACTCATCGATTTTAAACATAAAAAAAACCAAAATAAATTATTATTGATTTTAGAAGACATTCAACTCTCTCCCCTTTAATAATGAACAACACTGCTATTGAAATTGTACTGGAATAAAAGTATCTTGGCATGATTATTGATGACCAATGTACGTGGAAGAGCAACACCAATGCAAAGGCTCAACAACGTCTTATTCCTTTTTAAGGAAACTGAGAAGCTGAAATTGTTTTACAAAAACTTTATTGACACACACACATCTGCACTTCTCTTACACACAGCGTCTTGTCCCACTCCGACTGCATGACAGAATCGTCAGCAAGCAGCTGCAGAAAAATATTGAAACTAGTCATGAGAAGCTTCAGTTTTGACATGAGCATTGCATCTCAATCAGTGCCTTTACGGGAGGGACATACTCTCATCTCATCTCTCTTGCTCGCTGTCACTCTCTGTCTCTTTCTTGCTATTTCTCTTGTGCGTGTGGCAATTTATGAATACATTTTAAAAAAAACGTCGGAAATATACTTTGGTGGCCATTAATATACCTGGGATTGTCTATGTGTGGGAAACACTGGTTTTGTATCCTTTCTAGGAAACATTTTCAAGTACTAGAAGATAATTGATTAGATTTAGTGTATCCAGGGTTGTTATCATGGTTGATTTGTCCTCCTTCAAAGTTTCAGCAATGAGCCCTAAGCTTTTCCTTTCCTCTGAATCTTGATAGAGGGTTATAAAACCGCCAGTGTTCAGAGAAAAACGATTAAATCTCAGAAGAAATGGAAGCTATGGATCATTCCTTCTCTCCCAGATCAAACAAGGCCATGCTATACATTGATTTCTCTTACCCTCAAGATTAGAATCCTATTGTAAGACTACAATTTACAGGTTAGACTCCATTTAAATCTACCCAGGAGCATTGTCATATACATAATATAAATTCAGTCTGTGTACTTAGTTTGAATAATAATGAATATGCAGTATGCCTGAGGTGTTTTTTGTTGATTTCACATTAAGTGCAGTTTTTGAATACCCTCATTCTTAGGACATCTACTTTGATTTAACTATGGAAAATATAATAGAAAATAATAGATTTACTAAATATTGCACTGCAGACAGCTCATATTTTCCTTTACATATTTGTAATTTAAAGGTATTCTGATTTACAAGTTTGCACCGTGTCTGGAAAAAGAAGTGTTGCATTTATTAATTTTGCTTTAACCAGACATTCCTCCAAATTTGCCTCAGGCTGTAAATCTTAAGCTACCATGGGGGACAGCCTGTTTATATGCCTGTATTTTTTTTACCTGCATGTTAAGATAATGCAGCCACTGGCTAAACTGCAACAAATCTAAATCTATCTTCAAAAGGCGAGTTTTATAAAACACCACATTTACATAAGATGTGGTAAATTGCATCTTTAGAGAGCGGTGTTGTCAGCATGTTGACGTGTAGTGATTCTCTCATGTCTGTAATTATTGTGTTAATATATAATGAGAGTAAGTGTAAGAGGCTCAGTAGGCTGGATTTAATTCTACTTTCAATTCTTAACTCACCCTCTAGACCAAGATGTGGTCAAATTATGACCATTATTTTATGAGTCTGGTCAGGCTCTTGTGTAATCATTTGCCCTCTCAGACCAATACCAGGCCCTTAAGCAATAATACACTCAAGGTAATGATATACTGTAGTGATGTGTGGATGAAGCTTTATGATGCTTTGGACCTTCGCTGTTGATAAAAGAAATTGAAAGCCTTTGTCTTTAAATGCAACAAGTACAGTGACATCGGTAGGCCAAAGCATTAAAACATCTCTATAATATTCAATTTCAGTGACATGTTTGCATGAAAGGTCTAGTAAAGCTTTGTTTTATGAGTAAATCTTTGACACCCCAGAAGTACTGATTTAAATTCAATCCACTCTTAGCTGTTGTGTTTCAAATTCATGACTGATATTTATTTTGAATAATTTCTATTACTGTTATAACTAGGGCCCGACCGATTTAGGATAGTGATGTGTGGTTCTGGCTCTTGGTTTTGGTAGGCAGCCTCGTAGAGAAACAACTTTGTGTAATTTGTTACCCAAAATAATTTCTGACCTTTGCCAGTGTGTAGTGTGGCAGTAGTTTGCTTGAAAATAACCTTCCTCTTTTTGAGACCCCACTGCTGATTTGTCTGCACTGTCCCTGCTGTGTTGGAAATTACTTTAGAGTTGCCTTTTAAAAGGCAGAGGAATACATTGAAGGAATGCTTTATATTGTATAAAATAAATAAATATATACGTGTGTGTGTGTGTGTGTGTGTGTGTGTGTGTGTGTGTGTGTGTGTGTGTGTGTGTGTGTGTGTGTGTGTGTGTGTGTGTGTGTGTGTGTGTGTGTGTGTGTGTGTGTGTGTGTGTGTGTGTGTGTGTGGTGTGTGTGTGTGTGTGTGTGTGTGTGTGTGTGTGTGTGTGTGTGTGTGTGTGTGTGTGTGTGTGTGTGTGTGTGTGTGTGTGTGTGTGTGTGTGTGTGTGTGTGTGTAGGGGCCATGAACTAAACAGCACGGCAAGAACGTGGACAAGCAGCAGAGTCCGATGCTATGATCACAGTTTTTTCTTTTAAATCAATGCTACGTTAATTGACAAAGATCGCAGCGGTTGCGCGCCGGTTGCAGGATATTAACATCATCACTGTCTTCAATCTGCTCGCAGTGAATTTTCCAGAATATTACATGCTGCATTCACACATGGCTGCCCCGATTTCTTGCATCGATTACATGGAGGCTGACACATACAAAAATTCTGGTTAAAGTAGAGGTGAAAAATTTTACTGTCTGGCTTCACACATGCAATTCAACCCTAAAATGTCAGGTACTGTCCCCTTTAATTTGACACTAAAAGCAATGGATTCTACATGGGACCGCCAGTGAAAATATCAGTCTCTTTGTAAGTAAAGCATTGTCATTACTGACGAGTGAATAGAGCACAGATCAGAGGCCATACGAGTTTCGATGTGTACTACTCTTTGTTTGAGTACAATCCAATTTAAGAACTACTTTGTAAGTACTTTGATCATGTTTAGAATATATCAAGGCAGTCAGCCAAACTTCCAGCTTAGTAGCATTAAGCAAAACCCCAGATGTAGTAGTAGATTGTAATTAGGTTGTCATTAGGATTGGAACTGAGCAATACAGGCAAATTTAGTTTGTTCAGCCAGTTATTTAATGTGCTTACCACATGTGCTGAGCAAATAAGCTGCATTCAAACATCCGTTCTGAGAAGTGTGTGCACTGCATACAGAGGTTGTTTTTGTGCATTTTTTTAACCAGTTAACTAGCTCTGGACTAAATAAAAACAATTGAATTCACTCTGCAACAAAAAGGCTTCCTGCAACCTTACTTACCATACTTTTGAGTGTTTGCTAAATCAATGCATGACTAACAAATCTTAAATTTTAATATGAAAACATTGACCATTCCATTTGTTTAAACTTCCTCACTTGCATGACAAAATTCTGTGAACAATGGATCAATCAGGGTTTATGAGCTTCAAATTATGCAAAGTACAAAAATGATCTGAAAACAGTATTGGATTGTCCTTCCTGTGTTCTCAAGAAGCACCACAAACGCACTCTTCTGTGCTTTAAGCAGATTTGTTGGATTCACGGATAGTGACTGACAGCCTTACAGTGTCTATTCAAAACCTGAATGCGTCAT